CACGATAGAACCGCCACACAGAAATCAGTTCATCATAGTCAACTGTCCTTCAAAACAATCTGAAAACTATCTACAATTGTTATTCAGTTTGTGTGTAAGCACATGTAACCTTGCCTGTGTTGCACCCTGGCTCTCTCTCCATCACCCAGGGCCAAGAGGATCAGGCTCTACCCCGACACAACCATCATACTCACTCAGCGCCCCGAGAATCAATTACAGCTAAGCACCATTGTTTCCAGAACGGAGCTAAACATTAAAGATTAAAAATTCAGAATTATTGAAAAGCCATGCTCCCGGGGACATGCACAGAATATTTACTGTTAACAAATAACTTAATAACTTCAGTCCAAATTATTAATTCATGATTCGCATTGGCATGGCAAGACTTGTGGGTAATTTTTTCTGCCTTTATAGACTTATATATTCATGATTACTTTGCTATTCTTATGAGTTCTCCATCTGTTAGCAAAACCACTGGAAGTTTTGAGCAAAATCTTTGCAAGATGAAAAATGAGGAGGTAAGTTTGCCAAGTGGGATTACCGTTGAATTGTTTCATAATTATACAGTTGTGACATTGATGCTACTGCTAACGGCTCCAATTTAGTGAGAATAAAGCATGAGCCAAATTCTGTTGTTAAAATGGATTGACTGAACAAAAAAATGAATTGGGTAAGGTGGTGTGCCTACTATTGTTATTCAATCCCCCTCCAACCGAGTGCATCAAAAACAATGCAGTGCAGCCTGAAACAGTTGTCGGGGCCCGTAAAAGACCCCAGAGGCTGTAAATGGGCTCTCAGAGGAGGCACAAGAAACAATTGGCCTTTAGCTCTGAGGTTGCATGTCATCTCGCTGAAACTCACTACTGGGCAGATTAAGGTCAAGTGGATCACACCCCACTTTCCCCTCGTGTCAGGAGAGAGAGGGGCCCGGTTAAATGATGACAGGCCGAGGATTGAGAGAGAGCACGGCTAAAAAGTGGGATTTTTAAAGCTTCTGAAAAAGGTTTTACAGCCCTCCCTGGTGGCCCTTCTCCTGCACTCCACAAACGGAGCTGATAATGGCTGCTTGTCACAGGCGATGAGCTCACCTGCTCTGTCTAACTCTATCCCGCTGCTTAGGCTTAAAGCCTTGACATAAAAAGTATCTTAGCTCAGAACCCTCAAGGCAGAGGAATTTTTTAGCAATACACCGCCCTTTCCTTCTTCAGAGAGGGGTTATTATTATGTAAAACCAACTCTACACTATAGTAGACTGTTTTTGTTTTTTTTTTAGTTTGATTCAGGTCTGTTTGAGTAGCCCTGTGTTCTATGGTGCCGAGTACAATAGCACTGCAGTCTGCTGCCCTCTGCTGGTCTGCTCATCTCATTTTTTAGTATCATTTTTTTGGGCATTTTAGGTATCCTCTGTAGTTTGATAAGCTCACAGTTTTAGACAAACACTGTTCACTGATCACAAACAGGTAACAGAACCAATTAGCAGAAGAAGGCCATATTGTGTGATGAGGTGCTCTCTCGTCACACATGATAAATCAATGAGACTGAAGTGGCAGGCCTGCCAATTTCAATTAGACAATCAATTGACACAGTTAAGTGTTTTGTTTCACTGGATTGTCTTGTCAATCTGAGAAGGGCCATTGCACATCTCTTATGTGGCAGTTAACAGCAGCACATTTTGCTGGTTCATGTCAAGGGCAGAGTCACTAAGTCTGAACAATTAGAGCTGTGATTTAGCGAGCTGACAAGGAAACAAAATGGACCACAATTTTGTGAGCGTGTATTGAAATTATGCTTATCAGGTGCATGCCTCAGTAAAGGTGAAGGGTCGACCTGAGCGGGCCGCCAGCATTCCTCCACATAATTGATAGAAGTTTGGATTTAATTGTATAATTAATCTTGTCAAATTAAGTTACACCAAAGTCCGACCTCAAATTAGGCCATTTAAAAGTGCCTTAATGTGAAATGTGACTCCAGAATGCACTCTGCTCCCAGCTGATGGTGTGAGCTCAGCAGGCAGTAATAACCTGTTAGCACTTCTTATCACGTTGTTCTCCTATGATTAATTTCCTCCAAACGTAATTGCAATTCTAAAGCATGGTTCGTTCAGTGTATGTTGTGAATCAGTCTGCTCAGTGTCATTTTTACATTTACAGTGAGTGACAAGAAATGTGTTTGTAGTTAATAAACCAGACTATTTTTGCAAGAAATAATACTGAAGAAAATACATACCAGTCACGCAATGAGTTCATGGCTGAAATCCAGACTTTTTGAGGGTTAATAGGTGGGATTTACTGCATATGATAGCGCCTACATTATCAGGGCTGCTCTCTATTATGTATATGTATGCTATGTGGCCTATATCACAAACATGGTTAATTATTGTGTAAATGGAAAAGCTAAGAGAATTTGAAGTCTCAATCATTTAAGCAATATCAAAACATAAATTGCCTTTTTCACAGAATCCTTGCATCATACAAGATGTAAACAACTTTTTTTCTGATTTGTGATTGGATAAAGGGGAAAGTATTCTATATAGTAAAGGTTATAATGACGTATGTAGACCTCATCTGGGAGAGAAGCACCCTGGCCTGGCACACTGGCTCTGTCACCCAGAATACAGATGGTGAATTCGCCCTTGTGCACTCTCCCTGAAGTGCACACTTATAGATGGCTTCATTTGCTTCTTGTGCTTTGTGAAAATGGAGCGAACGGCGCTGCAGTGAGATTTTATAAAGTATGATTATTTTTAGTGTCTCGCTTCCTCCAAGTCCCTGTTTCTGCCATTTACCAAATTTAGCTGGGCATTTGTGCTGATTGAATGCTTAATGTACATTCTGGAGATTTGAGATGTCTTAAATGTGGACTGTGTAACTTTTTGGTTGAGGGTCCGTCACCTGCTTGCCTAGAATGTTCCATAGTATGACATTAAACAGCTCTTCTTTACATGTATTCAGTTATAAGTGGTTTTATAGCTCAAAAATACCTAGAAAAATTGGCATTCTGACTGTGAGCGGGGTTGCCTCTTCACAGATCTGACCTGCAACTTGATCTGGTTTGGTCTCCATGAAGATAGAAAGGATTAATACCACACTGTGATGGACCCTCCACCAGAAAAGTTATACAATGCATTTTTAAATCAACTTTAAATACAATCTCTTACCTTATGTATATTGCAGGGTACAGCAGCATCACAGTAGCAGAACCATCAGCCACTTCAGCTTCTTCCTCTTCTGGAGAAAGATGTTTACATTTAGAAAGACAATACATTTTAAATAAATTATATATGGCATCTCAGTCTCACTGTTTGTTTAAGCTGCGTTGATATGTTGTTCCAATTTCTTTTTTGCCAATCCGTTTTTGATTGTTCAGGGAAATCTTGTAAAATGCAAATGGGGACAAACAGAATGTAATTGGTGCAGTGTGATGATTAGAAGGAGAACTAATGATGTCCCAACACTAGGGTCAGGTGGGTTTAATGAGAAGAGGCACAATCAGTGTCAGTCCACTCTCCAGCTCCACTGCGCCGTGTGTCGTCTTGGTTCAGAGCCAGCGCTGTCACCAAGGAGCAATAAAAAATGAGTTGCCAGGCTGTAACTGAAGAGGAGCAGAAAATTAAATCTACCTTTCATTTGTTCAAAAAAGTGGTGGATTGTAATTGGATACCGCCATCATTCTCTCTGTTGAAAATTAACATTGACCAGCATTAAAATAATGTAATAATAATAATAGTCTAGTAATAATAATAATAATAATAATAATAATAATAATAATAATAATAGTCTAAATAAACTGTAGAATAAAAAAAAATGCAAAGTATACAAAATGTGTAATTTCTTTAAAAAAAAAAAAAGTGAAAAAATAATATAGCCATAATAAATTAGAATTTATTTAGCTCAAGAATGCAATGCAACAGTGGAGATCAGTGGGACACAGACAGAGTGAGCGCAGCCAAGGAGCATAACTGCAGCCAACTTTCCAGATTATCCCATCAGCTCTCCAAAAACATCAATTCATTCTTGTCAATAGATAATTAAGAGGGATAACTGGCTGGCTGTATAAAGTGGGCAAGTCAAGCACTACTGGAAAATGTCCGTCCCTTACCTCAGCACAGCTATAGCTCACCACGCATCATGCACCTGTCCAACAAATGTTAAAGGTGCACTGTGTAGCTTTCATGGGGAGGGTCCGCCACCTGCCTGTCTCTGTGATAATCTTATTGCTTTGGCTAGAATATTCCACAGTATGCCATGAAATGTATCCATCTTGCATTCATTCAGTTAAAGTTTTATTTTATTCCTGAAAAATACCTTGAAAAACATGCATTGTTACTGTGAAAATCACCTCTCGGTAGATCTCACCTGTAACTTAGCATGGTGGTGTCACATTCTTGTTTTTATGGAAATAGACAAGTCTAATACGTATTGCGGTACATTCCAGACAAAGCAATAGCATCTCCATGGAGTAGGGTGACCAGATTTTCTCATCTTTTTCCTAGTGAATTTCTAAATTCTAAACTGGGACACACCTGGGTTGAGATGGTTGGTATGAATAAAATTGTGAAAAGAGCGTGTAACATTGTGCATTCTCGTGTCAGTCATAATCTGAGGGACTTCTGTTGCTGCATATGTTTTTGTTTTATGGTTATTAGCAAGAACAGTTTTCAGTATTTTGGCCAAACAAATGACAATTTATGCTCTTCTTTACTGGTGGCAAAGATCAGATTAGTCAAAATTGTGACAGTCCTGTTTTAGTCCTGGTTTAGACCTAATGTAGTCCTGGTTTAGACACGGTTTAGGTCCAATTGGTGAAAATAGGGACACCTGGGACATTTCTTGTATAAAACGTGTGCAAATTATTGGTTTGGAGTAAATCTGATGGGACAAAACTGGGAATGTCCCCGGTAAATAGGGACATCTGGCCACCTTACCATGGAGACGAGCAATGATCGGGCCCTCCACTGGAAAAGTGACGCAGTGCACCTTTAAGGTCAACCCGGGAGCTTGTTGTATTTTGGCCTGGGAGTTAGAGCGCCCTCCTGTGGTGAAATCCAGGTTACATCGCTACACTGAGAAGAACGTGGCTAATTCCTTCACTGTACTGGTAACTTTAGTAGACTGCAAGCTTGTATAACTGTATTACATGATGTATAATTACTTAATGTTAAATGAATGAGTTCTGAACTAATCTTTAGTTTGTAAAAACATGTGTACAGAGTCAGTACCACATGCTAACTCTGCATGATAGCGACCTGTGCTAATTTAGTTTAGCTAAATGTCATTTTGTTAATTAATGGACTTTTGTCGGTTATTCAGTTGCTATTTTAAGTGGTTAGTTTAGATTTAGCACATTTTACCTTGAAATGGCAGGAAGGTACTACAACATGCATATTAATTACAAAATTTCTATCAAATTCACCAAAGGCTGTTGTATTCATTGTGTTGACATGGAGGCCATTTTGAGGACTTTAGACTAGGGTGACCAGATTTTCAAAATAAAAAACTGGGACACCCCGTTTTTTTGATCATTGGTAATAACAAAATTATGAAACGAGTGCATAATTAAGGAAAATTGTTATACAGAGACTGTTCATGACTAACATGTGAGTCAATGTAGTCACATTTTTTTTTTTTTTGTCTTCAGTTTTACAGTTTTCTGTATTTTACCTAAACAAAAATCTTTACTGTTGGCAGGGATCAAATTGGTTAAAAATATGGACACCAAGGACATGTCTTGTCCAAGGACAAATCACTGGTTTTGGGTAAATCTGCTGGGACAGGGGACACAGGACTCAAAACTGGAACTGTCCCGGGCAAATAGGGACGCCTGGTCACCCTATTTTAGACAATTTAATTTCACCTTAAATATTTAGTTGTGAAACCCATGGAACATTTAGCAAGTATGTATGTATTTTAATATGTTGATTGTTTTAAAAGTTATGTAATTTAGCCTTTGCAAGCCTCAACTTGATCTCCTTCTTATCCAGAGCAGTTGATCAGCTCCAATTAAAGAACAGCCTTGAAGACCCGGGAAGATTGCACTGGACAAGTGTGGAGACTTTAAACACGACCTGCTTGGCTTCAACAGCTGCATGCTAACCCATTGCTCTGATTGTCGTCCTGCTTCCACTGCCCTGGTGAATACTAGCAAGGTCCTTAATGTGTGAGATCAAGAGGAAAATAAGGCTCTCCAAATGGAATCAAATCACACAGGGAGGCAGGCCGGCTGGCAGCAGAAGGCCTTTGCAGCATTAAAGCCCGAATAAGACAGAGCAATTGGACTGTAATTCCTATTCCAGCTATTAGGCCGTCACTGCAACCGCTCACTTGCTTGGTTTGCTTCTCATTACCCCTTCAGTCCCCACCCCTCCGAACCACCACTTTGATTAATTGATTAATTCACAAACTAAAACTGAATCACATCGCGGTGCTTGGTTGATTCAAATTGGACGCGGGGTACCAATCAGTCCCTCCCACCACAAACAGAAAATACACCCAGTAAATAGATCTCTGTCCATTTGGCCTGATAATTTGTTGCATTTTCATGTTTTATTTATGATCAGAAAGCCGCCTGCTCCCGTATATCACAGACGCAATGAGCCGGGGCGGGTCTGCTGCTATTGATTCGGGTTGACGGTGCTCCCCTCCACACAGCCTCCCGCTACACCCTTCGCAGTTTGTATTCGTCCCCAGTTCTGAGCCCTGTAGCCCTGGTGCATTGGCGCTCATTCAGCACTCCCCTTCCTGGCTGACACCCGGCCCAATCCCATTCCCATGCATTCAATATTCCCATTATAAGCTCATTAGTCGAGTCATTGTTTTGGGCTCATTAATAGGATATCCATCGCCTTAGACACCTTCAAATTACCATGTCTCACTGAGGCCTTTCAGAGCATCAACAGTGCGGAGATTTGGGATTGTACGCTCGATCGCGGGCCACAGCAACCTTGAGTTTGCTGACATGTCCGCCTCTGTGGAAACCTGCTGACACACTTTATGTAGATGCACAGTCTCCTCCGAAGCATCCGCCCCCACCCACTCGTTCCCACAGGCTTGTCCGTCAGAGATGCAGGAGACAGCGGAGTGAGCCAGTGAGGGGGAGGTAGGGCCAGATTGGATTTTTAACATGCGGAGCAGCTCTTCCTCTGCGTATGTATTGATCCTCAGAGGCCTCCCAAGCCCCCGTTTTTCCTTTCTTTCCCTGGCAGTGGAGGCCATTCATCACCGGGGCCATGACTGGAGAGCTCAAACAGCCGTCTCTGTCAGAAAATGGGCTGCGCTCTGCCACACTGCTCTGGCCTCTCTCATCAGTGGGATGAAAGCTTGACAGCGACTCATTGTATGTTCTGTTTCTCTCCATCCTAAGACATCTGCAGAGGGGGACTTATTGCATAGTTCATAAGCCCAATAATAAATGCCCTATTGGTTGTTTGTTACAAAAATTTCTGGGCATTTCATTTAAAGCTTTCACCTCAACATTTTACTCAATAAACAGAATAAAATACAAGCGTTTATTTCATTATGGATGTTTTTGTTGTTAAACAATATCTTGAAAAACATGCATCCTTACTGTGGGTGAGCTCGTTTTTAGATACCGGCTTATAACTTGACCTTATACCTACATAAACATGTATGTCCATCTAATTTTGAAAGTATACTGCAAGTATATATACAAATGTATGCATGTAGATAAATAGGGATGCACCTATACTAATATTGAAATCGAATATTGGCACCAATCTAGGAAAACTTGCAATATTGGGTATCGGTTCCATGATATCGGTTCAGCCAATATCCAGGTTTCATTTCATGATGTTTGAACTTTAATTCATACAAAGCTGTTCTGTAGTTACTTGCCAGATGCATAGCACAATCTGATCAGTTCTGTAATAAGTTAACTGTATTTTGAGAGAAAAAAAATTGCATATTCCATTACTTCGCTGGGTAATATCGAGTATCGGCAGATACTTAAAAGATATAATGTCGATATCACTATTGAAACTGCAAAACCCAGATCGGTACATCCCTATAGATAAGCAAAAGGAACATATTTCGTAGCTTTTTGTGACAATTTAGTTGGTGGGGCACCTAGCTTGAAATGTTACGCAGTATGGCTTTAACTCTTTGTACACATCCAACCATCATCATTCTGAGCTGTTTGCAGTGAAACGCCTTACTCATTGTGTGCATTCCTTTCCCTCAGACTACTGTACTGTACTTCTCATTTGCTTCCTTACACACCTTGATTAACCCACACACCCTCTGCTCTTTATAGATAGTGACTTCTGACGCCACAGGAACACGCACATCCAGAAGCCTGCGTTTAGACCTCCTCAACAAGGACGAATATGGAGATGCAAACATGGCCTCCGCGTCTCATGTGTTTAAGTAACTTTGACGGAGGAGTTTGAAGCATCTCCCTACGGCCGGAGCTAATCTGATGTGAGAGGAAGCCACACTGAGACGGAGGAGGAAGAGGCACAGGAAAGCACGGCTGCTAATAGAAGTGCTCACTCAGCTGGTGCCGAATCTGCCCCTTCATCTCTCCTATCTCTCCGGCCGCTCTCCTTCTCACTCACCCACTTGTGTCCATTTACCAGCAGCGTGCCCGGGCCTCCTCTGCTCGCTCTCTCTCTCACACACACACACACACTTAGCGCCTATACACTCCCCTCCCTCCCTCACTGCTGCCTCCCTCTGTCTTTCACACACGATTTAGGAAGTCGCAGCCTCTCCCTTCCATTTATGAAATTGCTCATGTTATTTCCTGGCCTCCACCTCCTGTGCCCGGCGATATCTCTCATAAGTCCGAGTGAATGCATCCTCTCCCTGCCTGCAGAGAGTAAGCACACAGCTCCAATCCCATAAAGGACACATCTCACTGGCTTTGCTCCAACAAAAAAACAAAAAAACATGCGGAGTGCAATATTCCCGTCCAGCATGACTAGCTCCAGAGACAGCGCCTGGGCCTAACACTGAGCATCCATTCTTAATCCCCACCCACTGCCGGTTGTTTACCCTCTCGGCCTCTGGACACTGGAAAAGGCACATGTCATGATGTCCCATTTCTCCTTCCGCCCTGTGTTTTTATAACTTACCAAGATTCACCAGTACTGACCTAGTTGTGGGTTGTAAAAAAGTGACCAGTATAAGATGTATTATCTCCTGTCAAATGATGCAATAAGACAGTATGACTATCAAATTGTGAACTGAGCCCTGGAAGAAACCTTCAAAGTGCACTAAAGAACTTTTCTGGGGGTTCCGCTACCTGCCTGTCTCCATGGGGCTAATATTGCTTTGTCTATAATGTTTCACAGTACGGCAATAAAGCAATCCATCTCCACAGAGACGAATAGGTGCCGCCACCAGGCCAAGTTCCAGGTCAGATCTGGGGAGACTGACAGATGATTGTGGCTTATTCCAGTATTTTTGTGCCTTTCGTGGGGTACACACAAAAGAGTTCTTGTTGCAGGGATGATTTCGAGGCATACATAGACCATTGTCACTCCCACATTTATTCAAAAGGAACACTTTGTCAAAAGGCCTCTCCATGCCCTTTCAATCACATCTGTTCGGTGAATTGTACTATTTTGTAGAAGCAGATATATTTTACCATTAGGCGCAGGTGATATGGAGCAGAACAGACACAGAGTCCGGCTGTAGGAAGCAGGGAATGAGTGTCAAACAGTGAAAACATTGAGGAGGACCTTGATGGTGCACAGATAGGGTATGGAGGAGGAGGAGGAGAGATTGAGTTTGGGGGGAGGAGGGGTGATGTGGTGCGCCTGTCTGTCCTTGCGCCTATACTCTCCAGCCTGTTTCTGCCTCATTACCCCCTCTGGTCCCTGGGCAGCGGTGAAGAGAAGTGTCCTCTCCCGGTGAGCTGCAGCCCGCGCTCTGCCCTGCCCTCCTGATATTAATCAACACACACTCTTCCCCTTTCTCCCCAGTCGCGGCGGTGACGGACAGGCGGCGGCTGACGGCTCCTCTCCCGGCGCCCGCTCTCTTGCAAATGAGACGTCCAGCCTCCTCCAGAAGCAGGCGAGGGACAGGATATTAGAAAAGTTTCATTGGCAGAGAACTTTGTTGTCTGGTGTTATGTGAGTGACGGGAGATGTGAAGTCAGATGTTGATCTTTCTAGACTTTTTCTGTACAGGTAAAGTGTGTCTGAAATGTCATCTGTGAAAAGGAGAAATTATTGTTGAAGTAAAATAGTAACACATATCCAATATTCATTCTTCCAAATCTAGGGAGTTTACAATATTATATTATAAGGAAGTGCTTTCAGTAATTTACATAATTGTATATAATTAATTTCAAATAATCAAACCATTTCCAATAATGTGATATTCCAATTGAGATGACAATATATCATTCCCTCAGAGATATTATAACAAATGCATTTAATATCCAGACACTGTATATTGATTTTTACTGTGGCTCTTCTACTGTGACTCTATGCAATCTTTTAGGAGCAGTGAGTGATCACGGGAACAATTTTCCAGCTCCTGGTGTTGGAAACCGGAGCACCCAAAGGAAACCCACCCAAATATGTTGAAAACACGCCAACTCCACATGCATTGCAGGATTTGAACCTGGGACCTTTTGCAGCTCTGAAGTAATAATTCACCATGGTAACCATTGTCTTGATATTGTGTTTTAGAAATTATGACACAAAGTTATTAGTTTTCAGTCTTGTAAAAACTTAGTCTGACTTTTTTATAATGCTGTGTTTATTTTACACTCTATATGTTGGTGTTCCACATTTTGCTCTTTTCTTGCCTTAACCCCCTGACAGAGTGCCAGGTGTGTCCAGACCTAAGAGACGTCCCCAGCGACCCAGCATGCTCCTGGGGTGGGTGAGGGGAGGTGAGAGTCCAGACATGCCGCAGAATAGCTTTAGGCAGCAGACGCAGTGGAAGCCCGACTCTGTGAAGCTGGACTTGTGTGACATGAGCTGGCTGCCTTCCCTCTCTTCTCCACCATGGCCCCTGCCCGCTGTACCTTCACACGCTGAGGTATGTGACCTGTGTCCAAGTCGCACAAAGTCATAAGATGCAGAGTTCTTATTATTTTGTGGTCTTGGTGCTATATGTCTTGTTTTAAGGTTCATATTTTGCTTTGAGGCTTTGCACACCTTCCGAACAAAGTATATAGCATTGCTCAAAAGAAACAAAACTTCAGGTATGTTTTGATGTGGATTCAGTAACATGGTTATAATTTTGCATAATACCACACTTCGTCAACCATTTGATGCGCACTGTTGACCGTGAATTTCTTTAGTCGACTACACCACTAGATATAATTCTGCATAATATAGGACCCTTGAAGAGTTTTTCTTTATATTTTAAGACACCTCTTAAACAACACTGCATATATTACAACCTTTCTAAATTAAAAGCTCTTTTGCTCTATACAGAATTAACAATGTACCCTTGACACTAAAATATACAGAATAATCTTTGCATTTCAGAACGTGCTTGTAGAGGTCTAAGCCGTAGAAATAGCAGGATACAAAGTAAGACCCCCAGAGACAGGATGTTTTTGTTCTCTGTGGAGAACATTAAATTACCCAAATAAATCCAGGTTTTGCTATATGTTAATTGCAACCATTCAACTAGGATTTTTATTTTATTGCCTGCATTAATCCTGCAGCCCCGGACAAGTCAAAGTCAATTTTGTAGATTAGAGTCGCTTTAAAGCAGTTGTTTCTGTTTTGAGGCACTGCGTCTATCTTAACTTCCACTTGAGCATCCCTGTCTCCTGGGTGTTACCCGGCTCTTCTTATTCTGATGACAGCGACTGGACACTGGGGAGCCCTCCACTACTTCAGGCAGACTATGCAATTTAAACGTGCCGCGGGCATGTAGATATTACTCCCTGGCGAGATGGCTGAAAATTAATGGAAATTGTTTTAGTGGAATGGTTATTAACATTCTCCTTTGGATGCCCTTTTGTCATCGCAGCCCCATCACCTCTTCTGTTTTACTCTAACGCTCATTTAAGCAGCTGTGGACGCTCCCTTGTCATCCTTAATGTGTTTGCAGGAAGAAATTATTGGACAAATATGTAGTGATTCTACAGTCACTGCGTTCATATTATTGTTAGAGCAATTCTGCTTTATGGTATTTGTTTTACTTTTGTTTTGGGATAATCTGTTTTAAACTTAAATCAGATATATTAACATTGAATAGGTAATACTGTATTTTGGTCTATTTTTGCCTTTGACAATAACTTCATGCTATGAATACATCGTTGTCTTTTTGCATTCTAATAGAAAATATTACAACCTGCTGAATGTCATTTGCTTGTTTATTGTTCACCTTGGTGTAATAATCTGCCAATATTAGATTGAGGTGCACTGCTTGTAAAGAAA